TGTGGATGTAGGCCAATTGAAACTATTGTTTCCTGTTACTCTTGAAGAGTCTATTGGACCGTGCATCTGTCCTCGAGGATTTTCATAACATTCCACATCAGGGTGCAGCAGCAGTGTAATGCACTTGTGCAAATTCGTCTCAGTTTCCAGATAAATTGAAAGAGTTGTTTAGGAGAATGGATGTATGGTCACTGGTCGCAGTGAATGCCAAAAAATGCGGGAAGCTTTATTCTGGGTTCCTCACCCATCTTCATCTATAAGTAGGAAAGGAGCCTCTGCTGAAACAATTCTCCAGTCTCAATTTCAGATAAACACTCGACCATCTGTTAACCGGCCATGTAGCCTTATTGCAACTCTGTGTGACAATTTCGTGACAATTCACCAGATGCATTAAGATTTTTCAAAAGCCATGTCCAGCTGACTGAACTAAAATGAGTTACTTGCCAGTGCTTGCCTTCTCTTTTGAGAAACAGCTATAAAATACCCTGTAAAGCCCAGGACCAGTGAAGTTCACTGCTGCATTAAAACATGTATGCATTTTATTGTTAAGATTGTTGAAATTACCACAAGTTTCAATATTTGGCCAAGTAATTTCCTTCCAACAGCAACCCACTGCTTCCCTCAGCACTCATGCTAATGGGTGCACCTTTTAAAGTCAGTATGGCGTCATGAACTTCAATGAAGTGTAGAAGCAGATTTTCTTTGTTTCTGGCTGGTTTCTTTACAGTTTCCTTCAGAAATCCTTCCTCAGAAATGTTTCATCGCTACATTAATATTAGTAGTGCGGATGCCTCATGCCATTAAATAATCTGGCTACCTTGCAGACTTATTCTGGGGTTTGGCCTTAAGGACAAAGAAGTCAGACTCTAGCCTGGCTGTACTTTTTTTCAAGCACCAGAAGTTGTAGGTAGCAGAGCTTTAGGCAGCTTCTGTTGTTCCACATCAGTATTAGTGCTGTTCTCACAGCTGAGTAACGTGTTTCCATAAAGAAACTACATCTACAAACTACAGTCTTCTACAATATAAAGGTGATATATATGCAGGCTTAAGCAATTTCTTCTTATTTTTTCAGGAGTGTTAGCTTTTGGTGGTCATGGTTTATCATGCCGTCCATCATAAATACGGTGCTTTATATAACACAGAGACATGGTAAAGTTAATTAATCATCCTAAGAAACCAGGAGTCTGTGGATCCATTTCTGTAATCTTAGAAAAAGATAAATATTTTGTGTCATAAAATATGCACTGAGCATATTTCAAAAACACTGTAAATGATTCTGATTCATCAAATTAACAAATCTTTCATGAGGGCGAGGATTAGAAATAATGTGCCATCGGGACTTTTTCTGCAACTGTCGCTCTATGAATAACTATGTATGGAAGGAAGTCTGTATAATTAATATTTAATATAGTATAATTAATTATTTCATTATAGTCAAATTAGAAATCATGCCCACATAACGTGCACTGCTTAAATGGTCTTAAATACGTACAATAGCCTAATTAAGTCTTAGGCTCTCCAGTCTGATTACACAACATGAAACTAACACAACCAAATCCCACCCTCAGCTTATGAAACTCAATCCAGTTAACACACTTTAGCTCAGCAAACCCTGTTTTTGTAACAAACTATTGAATCTAAATTACTGCCTGTATCTATATTTTTATATTTTATTAAGCATCGTGTCATGAAGAAGCATTTTTTAATTATTTATGATTTCATAGTTTGTCACACTTGTGTTACTATTAGACAATGATAACCTGCAAAGCCAGAACTGCAGTCGAGCATTTGAGATTACTGGTAAGGAGTTCATGTTTGGATCAATTATAGCGAGTTATAAAAGGTCCTGAAGAAGTAAAGCAGCCCAGACCACCACACTACCACCACCCTGCTATGATGTTGTTTATATGAAATGCTGTGTTTTACACCAGATGTAACTGGACTCAAACCTTCTAAAAAGTTCAACTTTAGTCTTGTCAGCCCACAGAATATTTTCCTAAAAGTCTTGGGGATTATCAAGAAGGTTTGTTTTGGCAAATGTGACATTAACCTTTGTGTTGTTTTTGGTCAGCAGTGGTTTTTCTCCTTTGAGCCCAGCCTCTTTCTTATCACTGAATGTAGACTACACTAACTGAGTCAAGTGAGGCCTGCAGTGCTTTAGATGTTGCTCTTGGTGCCACTGTTCACAATTTAAAAGCTGCATTTTGTATTTCATCTGGTTAAATTTGCCTAATAGTAAAGCTTCTTTGATCTGGAACGTTTAAGTGTGACAAATATGCAAAAAAACGTAGATCTCCGAATGGGGCAAATACTTGTTCACAGCACTGCAGAGCACAATGAAGACCTCTTCGTGGGAGACACTTGTCTGATGGTGATCCCGGGCAATCTAAAAATCATTTCAGTTCAGTGACTTGTAATAAAACAAAGATTCACTAAGACGCTATTAGGAAACTGAGCCCTCATCTTCAATAGCTCACAAGCTTCAGCTGGGACAAAAGCCTTTGTTGGGACACAGAGCTCACTGCACAGCCTGTAGAGACATCAGACTAGTTTATGACAGACGGGTCAGCAGGGGGCGGGCGGTGGGCTGAAAACATACATATAGCTCTAATTGTACTCATGGCAGTGTGCATGAAAGTCTTTAAAGCGCTGAAGATAAGTGTGCATTGTTTGTAAAACTGCGAGCAATCAGGGAGACAAGACACACACACAAATTTCAGTGAACCCCTAATGTGAGACCCATGACCTGGTGAAAGGGGTTTTCTAGGTGTGTGAGAGAGTGTATGAGTGTGTGTGGGTCAGGGTTGCCAGGCACAGTATGCCACCTGCGACTGGAATGAAGACTAAAGGAGTGGGACAACAGAGAAGAAGATGCACAACACAATGTGACTGTGAGTGCTACACTTTCAGTAGACAGGCCCTACAGAGTGCTTTACATCTTATGAGTGAAATATCTTACTGTTGGGCCAAAAAACCTCCTACATTAGAAGTTGAAAAAATAAATGGCACCCTCTGCGACTGTCCTGCCCACCTAGTTAGCAAGGCATCAGTTTGGACTGCCTTGGTAAAAACTTCTCTCGTTAAAACCTTTCATTTATTTATTTGTTTATTAGAATTTCCATTAGCTCAGCTCTAAAGTGTAGCTGCTCTTACTGAGATTGACTTTAACAGCAGTAAATTAAATTAGAATTGAATTCCAAACTTGAAGTTTCAGTGGCTTCTTGAAGAAAACATTTGATGCAGATAGAAGTCATATACTGTAATCAGTCAGTGTGCACTGTATTTCCAGCTAGCCAGTAGTAACTTGAAGTCTTGTATGTCCTTATTGAAAACCCTGTATGTCAGGATTTCACTTATCACAAAAGAGCTATGGTTTATTCTTACCATTAACTTAGCTCAACAGTAAATTGAACTACATTTAACTACGTACTCACATCTTTTATTGCTATCAAACATCCAAATTGTCAAAAGTGAAACTCTGTGAGCTTTCAGGTTCTTGAAAGGACGCTGTAAAAGCTCTGTGATTAGCTTAATACAGTAAAAAGCCTTTGGAAATGACCAAACTCCAACAACGCTCCGGTCCTGCCTCGGAGTATTTGGGATGTACTGACCGTTCTGTTTGAATGGACGGACGAAAACATCGTCCTGGAGGAGTTGTTGCAGTTGAATGGATGCTTTTATACTTTTTTCCCTGTGAAAATGTATCAAAGGAATACATTGTAGCTTACCATATAGAGACTGACCCCAGAGAGCGAGAGAGAGAGAGAGAAGACAAGGCTTCTGAGCCCACCATCACATCAAAGACTGTCACTAAAGATTTTATGCAAAATATACATTTTTGGTCCATCTGTAAACCTAAAACACGTGTAAGCTGTTTGAAAAAAAAAGAAGCATATTTATGAATTTGTGTGTTCAAAAGCCCGGGCATCATGAATGGTTGACCAAAGCTTCAACTCTGATGTGTGTCTGAATGATGTAAACCCTCATGTTCTATAAATGTGTGCCAATTACCCTCTTACCAGCTTCAGCGTACGTGTTCTCCGCATCAGCCTGAGTCACTCTTATGTATCTGGAAATCTCTGTTTCTCTGTGTGTTTATAGTGACTTTAACTGATTTCTTATCTAAATGCATCAGTAAACCAAGTCATGAGTCATTCACTGTAAGTGTCAAGTCACGTCTCACAGCACATATAACCCTGTTTCAAGGCTCACCTGAGCTCTCACATAATCTGTATGTTTATGTGCATGTAACAACACCAGGAACGCACCAAACCAAACCAAACCAAACAGTTTTTAATAGAATGTCAGAAAATGCAACGCAACGCAAAAGCAATGTGAAAAGAAGAAAATCTGACTGGTTTATTGGGATAACAGCTGGTAGCATGAATTCTTAAGGCTCATACCATTAGACCTGTAGCTCCCAAACCGTGGACTGGGCCACACTGGTGTTGCAGAGAGCCATTCAGGTTGGGTGTCGATGGCTAGGCAAAAAAAATGGTAAGATTCAGTTGAACAAGTATGTACTTTTGTATGAAAACTGGTTTAGCCAACTATATTTAAGCAAAATTTTAACATCAGTTCTATTTCTTTATTTGGTACTTTGGTAAATTATCAGGGGGGTGGTGAGGCTTTTGGCTTCTGAAGCATTGCGTGTCAGAAAAAGTCTGAGAACAGCTGCATTAGAACAGCTGTAGAATAAGTGAAAACAGTTGAACCCGAAACAGTGGAAAAAATGTTGAATGGTAATGATGGACCCTGAAAAAGAAAACGTTTCAGCCAGGTCCCATCACAGATACACAGTAGCATATCCACACACACTACGGACAGCTCAGTGTGTGTCTCTGCCCCCTTTGACGCCCCTCCTTTAACCTCCCACCTTTTCTTCAACCCCTCCCTCTCTCTCTCTCTCTCACGTTTTCCCTCTATCTCTCTCTCCCTCCCTTGAATTAAGTCCATTATCCCAGCCTGCTCTGCCTCTGAGCAAGTCTACTCTGCTCAGCTGCTGCGAAAACTCCGTGTATGTGTGAACTCCTTGCATGCATGTGTTAAGAAGAGTTTTATGTGTGTGTACAGGCTTGTGTGTTTTTGTAAGTAGAGCTGAAGTGCAGCCGTTCATCAGTGGAGCTGACTGCAGGCAGGGGGAATACTCAGATCTCGCTTTGCTGCTTTTTAACTTCACTTACTTACTTTTTGGACTTTTTGAAGACTCACTGGACATATTTTGCACCATAGTGGAACTCTGCTGTTATTCTCTTTCTGTTCATGCACCATTCCCATAACTGGAAATAAAGGATTTTTTTTCAAATTTTTAATCAGATTTCTTAAACAATTTTTCAGGTATTTCCACCTGTTTAGCTGATCTCAGCTCTCACTTTCTGGACTGGTCAGTAACTGTTTTTTCATTACTCCATAACTTGTCTTATCTTTCTTGCTTAAATCAGATATGAAAAATTTTGGGAATGGGTTTTTGGAAACACGCAACAAAAACTGAAAAGGTTTGTGTTCAGTGATTTCTGCATATAAGTAGAGGAAAGACTATGAGAAAGTAAAATGAAACACAACAGTGTGGTAACAATGGATACTGTCTGCGCTGCCAGAGGCATGTTGGGCTCAGGTGGATGCTGATCCCGACCTGGAATGTTCTGAACTCCTGTGGAATTTGGTTCCCCTGGAAACGGATAGGCAGGTAAGTTAATTTGGACTCTGTTCCAGTAAAATCACCATTTAAGTCTATAAAGTCAATAAAATTAGTTCCGTTTAGTGGAAGACACTTCCAACCACAAACGGACTTAACTTGTAGATGAAGTAATAATGAAATCATGACTCCTGCTGTGCCGTTAAGTTCCCGGTTCCCTGAGCCTGCTGTGCCTGTGACATGACCACGTGCAGCACTGCTAATCCCGCACCACTTCAAACTAAAATATCTTTCTAAAAGTCATGCTGATGACATGTGGGATTTCTCTCAGAGTGTTTACTTGAAATCTGCTCTGTTGTTTCATTTGAAAGAGTCAACTGAGTTGTCTTTCCCCTGGGAACAGTTTGGAGCAGATCCAGTCAGGAGACCAGAGGCTGCTCTGTAAGGTCTCGCCTTACTGCTGCTTCAGGGCTTAACACAGCCAAATGGATAGCTACCAGGGACCAGCAGGCTGCCCTCGCCTTAGTGACTCCTTCATTATCTCTTATTTCAGAGTTTCTTCCATGAGATGAGAGATTTAAGCTGCATGACCACAAGGCAATTTTCCCACAGTAATTAAGCAGATTTCTTTCTTCAGTAGTATCACTCCAATCACCTCTTCCCATCCCGGCGATACAGGCAGAGCTGGTGAAAGTCTGAAAAGTTATCCATCCTCACAAATGAGACCGGTATGAGCATGAGCATAATTAGTGAGGACAGCAAACACCCAATTAGCAAGTTTTAGTGACTCCAGTTTCAATATTTATTTTCCCCTTCACACTCTGAATAATAAGAATAGTCAAACTGAATAAATGCTAGCCATGGGGTTTGTAGACTGGGAAGTTTTCCATTTGTGATGCTGGGCCAAATGGCTCAGGACCAGCAGACTGCCACAGCATCTCCAGCTCCTTCATTCACTTACACTCTTTTAAAGGGACCAGAGGACTCTGCTTCAGACTGTTTCGCTTTTCTTTCTCAATATGTTTCTGCTTAAATCCCATAAAGACCGGTGCTCACTTTTGGCTTAAAGCTAGGGCTTACTTTGTTTCTGTTGAGGGTGTGTGTGTGTGTGAAGCTTCACTTTGCTTCTATGACTAGCATTGCCCAAAGACTTAAAACACTTCAAATAAGAATGAACTTCTGAGATGCTTATTAAATTCTTTTGTAGCCTTCATATGACTCAGGCTTGTGCCCTTTTTTCCTATGTACTTTAAACGTTTTTCAACTCAACTTGTAGTTGTATTTTCTTTTACATTTATGGGCCATTTATATCATAATTATAGTAGAAAACCATCATTTCAACTTACTGCTTTCTCACTATAGGTGGTCTGTCTTTATGAATGTTTATTTTTATAGTTATCAAGGGAAATGAAGCGCTGCGCACCTCATTGTCCTTCCCAGAAAAAGCAAAACGCTGTCATGCTTCAGACTAAAGCACTGTCACAGCTGTATTCATGGTTAAAGTCACAGTTTTGCATGACTCTTGTAGAATTTGTTTGTTAAAGTCTGCAGCATTTACATTAGGCAACGCCTCCCTGCATCACCTGCCCCGTTCACACATCTAAGACTTTCTGCTTCCGTGCTTCTTTTCCTTCTTGGAAATGGGGCAAAAACTGGCAAGCCAAAGTTTTTCAGTCAGAACTGAATCAAAACACAACTGTGCTTTAAAAAGTATTCTTTAAATGCCAAGGTGGTAACTTAGATTGGAGGTCCACGATTTGACATGCTCACTATACTATGCTACTATATATTGTACAGATGCATTCGGTCCCTGGATGGGTTCACTCTAACCATCGCGTTTACACCCTGAATACCGTTTCCTTACTAGTGACTTAGCTGTCACTAGTTAATATTTATCCTTTTAATCCGAGAAAAATAATGTGACACAGACTATTAGTGCTTTGCGTTCTGACACGTATTAGGATTACTTCATCAATACATGAGTCAAATTTATTGCAAAACAATTTCTGAATTTGATTAAAACAGCAGTAAATAACCAGAAGGAAAACAGCTGGTGGCATAACATATGTGCTTCCAGCTTCAATTCTTTTCAGATGTGTTTTATTATGTCAAAATGACATGTTTCAATGAGAATGCAGTTAACTCTTTTATGTGGTCATATGATTTCAAAACTATAGACTTTATGGTATTTCTGGAAAAACATCTTGGTTTCTTTGGAACAGACTTATCTGTTCACCTTGCCAGCCCTCTTCTGAACCTTCTTCTCGCTCTTTGCGTCCATCCTCACTCTTCTCTACTGTCTTCTCTCTTGCATTCCTTCCCTCCCTCTGATTTACTTCCACTATTTCACAATTCAGCAATACACATAATTATAAATAGCCATATATTAAAGGAGCTGCATTGTCAGTGATAGTGGGAGAGAAGCAGATCTTTCTCTGGACTGACTTTTAATAAATGCTTTTGTATGCCAACATATGTTTTAGCTTTCCTGCAGTCAGTGCTCCACAGAAAACCAATCAAATTAGATAGTATAGATGGGAGGGGGACTCATCATCGTGATATAAGCAAGTATCTCTTTTACACTGAGCCAAGTTTTTTCTTAAACCTGACCGAGTTGGGGAGCTAAAAATCCTAAAATAAGATGGAACTATGGAAAAATACATGGAAATCCAATGCAGTTCTCCTGGCTTATTCCTCATTCATATGTAAAACACATTTTGCAAGAGACAGAGAGTTCAAGTGAGAGCTTTGAATTACATACAAACTTTTAAAAAAAATCTTACTGTATTCTCTTTCACCCCGTCGCTCGTCCCATCTGTCTCCCCCTTAGCAAATTAACTGGTGCAAAAGCCACCAGTTACCTGCTGTTACAGCTATTTTGCTCTGTAAAGCTCTCCCTCCCCTCCTCACCCTCTCCACTTATTCTTCATCATCATCCATCCATCCCTCCCGCTTTTCATTTCTCACTTGCAGGGAGGCTTAGACTTATTGCTCACAGGCCAGGGAACAATTTTTTCCCCTAGGGGAGAAACAATTGGCTCCTTTCTCTCCATCACCTCCTGCCTCACTTGTTTTCTTCTCCATCCCTCCCTCCCTACCTCTGCTGCATTCTCCTTTTTTGTAAGACTGCATGCATGCAGGCTGGCTGCAGGGTTGAAGTGCAGAAATGTCTATATCCTGTTGTTTTGTTCACTCCTTTCCACGTTCTCTCTTTTGTTGTCTTTCCCTGCTTTTTCAATTCTCCCCTCCCCTTTCTCCCCCCTTTTAGACTTCTAATTCTCCTTTCCTCTCCCTTTCATTCACATTGCCTTACTGCTTCATCCACAATTCATCTTTCAACTCTTTTCACACATTTTCCTTGCTCTGCTCCTGTTGTGATTCCCCTCTCTTAACCGGCCTCTCAACAACTTCTCGTCTTCTGTCTCTACATCATTTTGTCATCTCTTCATTCTTCCCTCTGTAATGATTTTATTTGTCTTTGCTTCCTTTTCACCTACCTGTCTCTTCATATATCTGACCCTCATTGTTTCCCCCTCGGGCTCGGCTTGCTCTTGATCTCCACTGTGACCTGTGGCAGTGGTGGTCTACAGGTTAAACTGCAGATATCCATTTATTCATTACTGCATACAATACAGTAAAGTTGCACTCTAACCCCGCTCTGAAAAAGCGGGTTTCACCCTGGAGGCGGGCCGCTTTGTCTGCCCATCTCAATTTAGTCTGGTTTTGACAGGACAGCCTGCTTCCCCCCCCACGCAGACCCCCCCACCTAGAATCTCTCTCTCTCTCTCTCTGTCTCTGTCTTTCTCTTTACTTTTAATCCATTCCCTCTTGGCATGCTGCTGCTCCATGTCTATTGAAGCTGAACTGAATGCAAGTGTCAGCGGCCCCAATGGCTTTTTTTTTTTATTAAGATCCATTATGGAACATGCAAGGACTTTGTGTTTACCTCTGCATGTGCATGCGGGTGTGTGTGTGTGTGCTGTGAAGGGCTAGTTTTTTAGATGGGGATATATTCTCCTACATCCTTGTATATGAATACATACAAACGTTTGTGTGTGTGTGTGTGTGTGTGTGTGTGCCTGCTCACAGGGCTGTGATGTGATGTGATGAAGAGGAACAATAATAGACTCTTCAACTCATGAAGCCAGAGTTATAGGACGCACACAAACACTGCAACACACAGCTCGGGGTGTCTCGGAGGAACAATGGGACCAGTCGTTCCTTTTATAGCAGCCAACAGGAGTGTGAGGGTTTCACTGCTCCTCTTGTCGCTTCCAGGGAGTGTGACGTGAATTGCGCGCGTGTGCGCGCTCGCTTCTGTTCTTGTGTCACGTAGCTGCAGCTGATGAGAGTGCTGACGTCCTTCCCCTTGAAATACTGCAGCATCTTTGCAGTTCAGTGCAGAAACTTGAGCGTGCATAGACATGCAGCCTTGTGCTTCGGCCTTTCTGTTTCACAGACCTCAGCACAGTTTGGTGCTCTTGTGATCACTTCTTTAATGCTAGCTGGGAAACTTTGCACTCAGCGAACATCTGTGAAATCACCCAAGACCTCTTCAATTCGAAAAACAGCGAATTAAAGTAGCGGATAGCAGGCCGTGCTGGGATCTAGCCTTGCATGTGTGCTTTTGTCCATTCACAAATGTGCGTGTGTTTAGATACTGGAGGGTATGTGAGAGTTTATGTTCCTGTTAAGCTCCGTCTTGTTGTGTTGTGGCCTGGGAGCCATGAGCTTATGAGAGCTCTCCTGTCTCTACGCTTCAATAGCTCCATTATTCATAAAACTCTGTGCCAACAGCGCGGACGGGTCTATGTCTGTATAGCGTATGTGTGTTTTCTCATCTTATGTATATTGTGCTTTAAAGTGATTCTTTAGTTTTCAGTGATGACCAGGAATTTGAAATTAATAAGAAAGTTGTTCCAGCTTAGAGCAAAGTGAGTATTTGAAAGCTTGGCATGCTTTAAATATGGCCGAGATGATGTTGGTGATGGCAGGCCTCACTCTGTTCACACAGTCATCCTCGCGGAACGTAGACACAACACCTCTACGTACACTGAGGTCAGTGGCATCCCACTACAACTAATGGCTGACAAATCTGAGATAGATTTTGATATTAAACTTCTACCTGCATCTGCAAGCCACTTTACAATCCAAAATCAACCCACATGTGTCTGACGATCAGTATCATGTCTGTTGTTGCAGATGCCTAGTCTATTCTTCCCGCCTTATTGTTTCTGTAGTCGTAGAAAGGTGAGGAGGGCTGTGTACAGCGCCATGCTGCCAAATCTAAGTTACTCCAGGGAGAAATACTGCTTCTTCTTCTTCTTAGTTGTTCTGACTGATATCTTTTTCTCTTTTGGATCATCTTTTGTAGTTATTAGTGGAAAACAAATGTTGTATTCATTTATAGTGCATTACAAAGTCAGCTGATTTGGCTCTAGTTGAAAACATATGGCTAGCAATAGACTGCAGTTTAAATATATCCACAAATCTTTTTTGGCCTTACCCCTCATTTAAAGTATCCCAAGCAACGAAAGACACTGTTATTTTACGTCTAATATTGCCCCAGTCAAGACAGGGAGATCTAGTCTGCAGTAAAGAGCAGATTATTATTGAACAGCTGATTTTATTGCCAAGACACAAGAGGGGTTTTTATAGAGGGTGACAGATGAAGGGAAGTGATAGAGGTAATTGTTAGAAGGAGGAAAATAAGTAAAGATTGAAAATGAAAAGAGGGGAAAAGCCAACTGTCTGCCTGTTACTGAGTGCCAACTGTGAGGTGCAATATAATAAAGGAGACTGTTTCTACTGAAAGGCTTTATTGTTCCTGCTGCCTGCAGAGTCCAAAGTACTGAAAGAGAGGTGTGTGTTCACTGCGCACTTTTTTTCCCTTTTTTTTTTTTGCAGCACAACATTCATATAGATGTAGGATTACAAGCCACTGACCTCCCTCATGCTTTGGCATTGACAGTGCCGTGAGATGTTATTGGGGAATTTTCTGAAACAATAGCAAGTCTGTCTCATTAATTTCCGCAAATCCAATACATCAGGAGACCGAGAAAAAACAAAAACATTATAGAAGCCATGTGTAAACCAGATTGGGGAAAAAGCAACACTGTAAATCTCTAAATAACTTGTAATTTCATTTATCTATTACTGTGTAAGTCAATATTGATACCAGAAGCCAACAGTCGCTCATTTTGTGAGGCCGGATTCGCTCACAAGTGACATTGTTGTAAGAACTGATGTGCTCGTCCACTCATCCGTCTTCATCACTGTCGGCTCATTAGTCCCTTACAATGAAGAAGATCTCATTCAGTGACACTGTCTGCCAGTGTGGAGGGAGCGAGGAAGAGTGTGAGCAAGCAAGCGAGTGTGTGAGTGCTGGATGCGTATATGTGTGTGTGAGCTGGCAGTGCCACAGACATGGAGAGTTTGCGCCTGGCTTGGCAGTGCGCAAAGCATATCTCTATCTCGCACACACAGTATTCATCACACAAGGTCAGAGATTATGTGTGTGTGTGTTTGTGTGTGCGCGCGCTTTGGATACTGTCCCTGAGTCTTGCTGTAATGTGAAGAGATTATAGTGTTGCCATAATGGAGGCTGGCATTAACATAGCCTGGCAGGAGCATCAATCTGAGTCTGACTAAAAATACCTCAGACAGCAGTGTGTGTGTGTGTGTGTGTTTGTGCATGGGGGCATCCCTGGCATAAGCACACGTGTGCTAGCAGTGCACATTTCTAAATTTGTTACTTCTCTGTCTTTATTTTCAGGTCTATGTGTCCATGTTTAATGTTTATGGCCCATCTTTGATGTGAGAGTTCAGCTTGATCATCCTTCAGAGTCCCAAGAGAACGACGTTACGCTGATTATTGAGACTCTAAAAAGAAGACTGGAAGAGAAAAAAATAGAAGCCAACACTTTTTTAAGGATCCTTCCAATAAATCCTTAAAAGGCCGGTGCCTGCTTCTGTCACACAGATTCTGAAGACTGAATCAGAACCAGGACACAACTATAGCTTCTATTAATAAATTAAAACTTAAATAAATCAATTCACAGACTCCGCTTTTGAAAGAAAGGAGTTTGCTTTACGTTTGCCAAGATGATGACTATGATGATGATGGTGGTGGCCACGATGGTCACCTGCAGCTCTCTGTTCCTGCTGGGGCTGGCCGCTGCCCATGCATCCTCCAGCACCGTGACCCGCACCTCCTCTTCAGCTTCTTCTTCTTCTTCCTCCTCCTCTTCATCATCCACCTCACCGCGCATGAAGTTATCATATAAAGGTAAGAACAAAAGCTTTGAGGATAAAAGTTCTGGTTCTTTCTAAAAAAAAAAAAGGCAATTTCTCTCTTCCACTGCCCGTAATAGTTAGAAAAGTATCTACACAAACCACACGCACACACACACACACACACACACACACACCACTTTCTCTGTTTCATGTAATATTCAGCTTTATCCTTTTGAAAGTATATGCAGCTGAACAGTAGCCAACTGTAATTTGTGGTTGCTGTGATTCACAGCCATAGACACACACACACACAACTTAAACACACACACACAACTTAAACACGCAGTAGCACGGTTTTGTGTTTCATCTTGGGTATTGTATGTTAGAAGAAGGCAGCTCAATGCCCAACACAGCCACATAAACCAAGCTGGTAATTACAGCCTGAATGAACTGGCCAAGGCCATGAAGCTGACTGCAGACCGTTTGCACAGCTGAGACATGTGCCCGCCTGAATTTGGGCTGAAGGTAACTTGAAGCATTTATTATGAGAAGACTTAAGACTATTCTAGTTTTATTTGAAACACAAATGACAAATGAGTGTCAACAGTGAGAGTTTCTTGGTTCCTAATTAGGCTGTAGGCAGTTATTAAAATACTACTTTGACATAAAAGTAGAGTCATATAAACAATTTTAGCAACTTTAGCAATGAAGCTAAATTGCTGATGCCTTTCTGTGTGTTTGGTAATGTTGCTGTTGTTAGGATTTTAGCTAACATAAACATAATATGTTAAACATTAAAAACAAGAGTGCTCTATTGTTTCACAATGACATGCTGTACAGCTGATCTATCTGAGAGTATATTAATTAATACTACATTTTTTGTTTTTAGTTAGCAATGTAGCATTAAATGGCATTTTTGACTGCTGCTTTTTATTGAGTAGAAAGCATTATTACTTGTTTAAAGGATGAAGTAACCATTACTTAACTCAACTACTTAAAGTAGATTTGAGCTGTCAAATAATATTTTCTTGACAGATATTCTGTACCAGCACTCAAGAAAGGAGCAGTAAAATATTAAACACCAATACACTTGGATCTCAAAGTAAAAGTAACTGCATTTAGCAGAAGGCAGGTATCATACGCATGTTTTTAACACACTATGTCCTCAAGCCCAGGGTTATTGCCACCACAGTATGGTGGGGCTGAATAAAAGTCCCTGATGTCATGCTGGCGGCTATTGGGTGGCGTCAAAGACTTAATTAAAGTTATAAATTCACATTAGAACAATGGCAGACTAATAAAAGACATTTTAATGTCGAAGTGAAGAGGGCTTTGGTCTTGTTTTCTTATGCTCCCAGTTTGAGCTGAGCACGTAGGGGAGGATGTAGTCCCTTTATTTCTTAGTTTCCTCAAGCCAAGAACACAGTTTTAATTCTTTTCTCTTTTTTCCCATCAAGCTTGGGGTGACTATTATAGTTTAAATTGACAAATACAAGCTAAATTTTCCTGGGCACTGTTCCTCTAGAACTTTTTCTTGCCAGTTTGGAAATGGTAAAGACATTCAGTTTTTCCACTGAAACTAATATAGTGTCATTACTGTCAGAGGATTTCATCCTGCTCGTTTCACAAGTCACTGGCCTTAGGACACAGCTCAGAAATATACTGAAATACATAAGATGTTGAGGGTTTTTTTTTTAGCAACGTGACTTGTGGAAGCCCTGTAGCCAACTAACTGATGTGGATCTGAAGACACTGATGACAGTTTTGAACGCAAAGATTTTATGTTTCTTTACTTACTTTCTGAAGAACATAATTAATAAAAAAGTTTACTTCACTATACAGCAAAAAAGACAAGTAAAGACCAAAAGACTGGTCCAAAACTAAAGCCTCTGCAAAGTTATCCAAGTTATCTCATTTCTGTATGTCAACACATAAGCACATTTCTCCATAAATACAGGCAAACACAATGGCACCTACACACTAACACAAATGCATAGGCGGGTTCTCCCATACTTAATATCTTTATCTTTAAGTTATGTGGAAATCATCGACTCATATCAGTGTTTGACTGAGGTCCACCCTGTAAATCTACATTTTCAGAGTTGCAGCAGTTCCACGGAGTGCGACGGTTTGAGCTGGAGCGTTCCTGCTGCTTTAGCGCCCTGCTGTTGGATGAAGAGAGGGGTCGACTGTTTGTGGGAGCCAAGAACTTCCTGCTGTCTCTGTCGTTGGACAACATTGCCAAACAAGAACACAAGGTTGGCCAAAAACAACCCCCAAAACCAAACTTGTATAGCTGTAAAACATGTGGGAGTGTGAGCGGTCTGTTGATCAAAACTAAGTTACTGCTGCTGAGATTTCAGCATTTTCAACTCTGTGTTTTAACGGTTATGAGTAGATTTAATTTTAGATTTTCATGTGCACAAGGCTTTTTAAAAAGTTATCCATAAAATAAGGAACGGTTTTATAAACACAGCATTTTCCCTGGTAATACACAAACCATTACCAGAAGAGATAAATCTGAACAACTCCAAATACATTTGCCATGAAAATATTTTGTGGCCTTTTGTTAACTATCTTAGGTGATTATACTGGCAGCAGATGAAAGTGAGTCATTCTTACAACCACTGCAACATTGTTTACTTTCTAAGAATCATTTATTATTTTGACTCACAAAGTTAGTCACCTGTGGTTTGTATTCTTGCATTCCTGAAGGAAATATTCAGAAGTGTGGAAACATTTTTACAAACACACCCTTTAGAAAATAACATCCGTGCACATATGAGTCTACTTAAGTGTCTGACCTGAGGGGAAAAGAGAAGTGTTATCCATAGAGGAAGGTAGAAAATCAAAGAGCTGGACGGAGATAAGAAAAAAAACATTTATGCAAAAGAGGTTATGATTCATATCAAAAAGGCACACTTTGTGAGGCCTTTGCCTTTGGAGTATAATCAGAGCTGCGAAAAGACTTGAGTACAGAATACAGTGCACACACTGGCAAAAGAACTGAAATGTATAGACACTATAGTTACACACAAAAAAAGCCCACAAAAAACATCTGTCCACAGCTGCTTGGAGTAAATTGCAAGTTTCTATCTGTCAGATATGAAACCTCTGTTGGTTTTAGGTAGATGAGGGAGTTTGATTTATGAGCTGGGTGTGCAGATTCACTGTAGCTCTCCCTGTTTTTTTTTTTTTTTCAATGTTGCTGAGTGGCTGCAGGATAAAATAGGTTAGAAAGAAAGAGATGGATCAGACTGTTCTTACACTTGATGGTTTAAGTCCTGATATTATGAGGAAATGCATCTCTGGTACACTCTAAATAATCTAATTTAGCCAAATTAAAAATCCAGAGTAAATTTACAAGATGGACTGATCTTTGTCTGCCTGTTTCAGATCTACTGGCCTGCCCCTGTTGACTGGAGGGAGGAGTGTAACTGGGCTGGCAAAGACATCACTGTAAGTGATCACACCACACGTCACCTCAGCCATGTGATTTCATGTTTTCATTTTTACCAGAGAAATAAAAATTGATGTGGGTACTGTGATATCACCTGGTAAAGCCCTGTTTTCAAGCCTTCCAATAAATGTTTTTTTTGCTGTCACCAGCTTGGTTGAAAAAAGGAAGGGCGGGTCTGACTGTGAAACCACGCGCTCATTCACTAAGGACTTGTGATTGACAGCTAATTAACCAATGAGCTTGTAGTTTCATACCAAAGATAATCCATAATTCTGCATAACTTGCAAGGTAGACTTCATTTTTTATTCAGTATAATACAAAACAAGTGACCGGGAACATAAACAAGGCAAGAAATTGTTTACAGAGGTAAAGACAGAGAGCTGTTTCCAGATAGGCTTCAATGGGGCTGGAAGTCCTTTTGCAACCACAGCTATCACCATCCAGAAGCCTCACATAGAACGATAGAAAGTTTTTAAGAACACCAGGTATTGGCTTTATTTGCCCGACCCCACAGCTACGCCTGCGTTTTATCTTGTCTGTGATCTCTGCTTTGATTTATAAAAGTTTACAGCTGATACAGTTCAGATGTGGAACCTGAAAGTTTTTAGAAGTGTGTTGTCATCATCCTATGCAATAGGAATAATGCAATAATATTATTATTATTATTATTATTATTATTATTATTATTATTACTCAAGGAATATTTAACTACAACCTGTTAGCTACAGTTTTTATGAGACATAATGCATCATAACATCCACTTTAACCATGTCCCATTTTACATACAGTTCAATAAGCATTGCTACTGAGCTCCAAGTGCAGCATGTAAGCGTCCACTCCTACCCAGCCTAACACAATGCTACCTTTTAATCCACTCGAGTCATGGGAGTCATCACAAGACAGAAACACCACATTTAAACAGATAACATGTAATAATAGGTGCAGCACTCCTACTTTTGGACCTGCCATGTGGTGAGATTACTTCCTCCAAATTTGTTTCTTTGAGCCCTATTTGAATGATATCCACACAGTCTGATGTAGAGCTCACACTCGGTGTTTACACACTGTCTAACCAGACAGGTTTGGGATCAATGCAAACATTTCATTTTTTAAATGTCACTTAAATATTAAACTTGGTATTGCACTGGGTTAGGGGATCAGAGAAACTCAGTTGGAAACACAGTTCTTGCTGAAGATCTTTGATATATTCACTATGAAAGCAACTCACTGGGTTCTTCCTCACTGGAAGAATATGTGCAGCAGAAAATAACAGTTGCATACCTTTGCTGTGACGATATGATGCAATGCAGTGAAGTCACAGAAATCGAAATATTGACCCATTGCTTGTAAAAATGTGGCACGTTAAATTAGGTTGAATTGGATGTTTATTATCTATATGAGGATGGACGGACTGAGTGAGGTTAATAAAGAGCATCTTGGACATGACCTACAGCAGTAACAATAAGATGCAGATTAACAGGAAATGAAGCAAAACCCTGATTGTTAAAGTGTTTCTATTTGGATGATTTGATCTGATTCTGATTCCGTTCTGAGATGACTGCATGCACAAAGTCTCCATGACTGAACTCATGACCTGCTGCAGAGCTCACGGCAGAGTTTTCCAAAAGATACGCCACCATCAAGTTCCCTTGACTTATTATTTAAGTGCCAAAAAAAGATTTTCTATGTAATGTTCTGCATGTGGATGTAGTGTGGGCAGGGGGGGCTTGGCTTCACTGACCAACATGTAGAGGCCACCAAGAACCTATAGACCACCCAAGATTACAATTAGATAACTATACAGGTCAGTGTGTGTGTAGGTACGTCGTGGCTTTAACTGTTTAAAACAGTAACATCACGTCTGCTTATGCAGATATACCATAAATGTGTCTATTTATAGTGTATTTATACTCAAGTGTTTGACAGTGTCTGTGTGTACATTTATCCCTGTATGTGTAAGTTTCCAGTGTGTGTGTCTAATGTCTGTGAATGTGTCTTTATGTGTGTGTAAAACAAACCCGTCATCAGTGTGATTATACAGCTGTAGCAGACAGACAACGGGCTCCATTCATACAAAAATCCAGGCTCTAATTTCACCTGACCAGGAGTCTGTTTGTGTGTCTGTCTGTCTGTGCATGAGTGTGTTCAGTTTTCTGTATGCATATGTCCTGTTCGAATGTGCGAGTAACTGTGGAGACTGTGAGTGATGAAGAGAATTAATGTAATGAAGAAGATAATGAGTTATTGTGGGAGAAAGAAAGTGATAAGACAAAAGTTCAAAGAAAATGACAGATTTTGCATTAAAGTAGTTTTTTTTACTCACATTTCTATCCTTTGAAATGTTATTTTTATCCTCTTTTATCCTTTTCTGTGTGAAAACTCACCCAAACCTCCACCATGAACTATTGACCCTAATTACAGAGAAATGTGTTTTCTATAGGAAGAGGTCAAAAGCTCTCCCTGCCACTTGATCTCTTCCCTCCACTCATTTTCCATGTTTGGTCCTTTCTTCATATTCCCTGTCCTCATCTAATATTGTTATTTACAACCCTCCAGTCCTTCAAACAGTAAAACCACCTTGCATGTGCCAGCACACTAAGACAAACACAGACACATGCAGATAAACAGAATTAGAGCGGGGCAGTAAACAGTTGACAGTTTACCCAGACACTTGGTGTGACTCAGCACTCTGAGGCGTCACTGTAAGACCGGAGTCATATTCAGAACCGCAGAAGTGATAGATTGTGTGTTTATGCTGTCATTTCAGTACCCACTTGGTAACTTTCAGTGCCTTCCAAGACCCATTAATAAATCAATGGGTAGGAATTAATAATAAAAATCCTTTTCTTTATTTCATAAGTATATCATTCAAAGCAATTTCTTATGTAAAATGCTCTGTGGAAGATGCATTAATCACAATTGTAAATCAAAATTGATTTTTTTAAAGGTATCCAAGAAGCTGCATGTTGCACGATGAGGACTGGGACATTATGAATTAGATTATGAATGAAGTCCAATAGCTCAATGGGAAGAATTAATTTAAAAAGGAGAACTCTTCCAAACTCTTACTCATGTTAGTCTTTCTGGAAGACACAAACTGAATTGTGTTAATCTTTAACTACTGAGAGAAGAAGCTCAGTGACCACCAAATATGTCTGAAACCACCAAAAAACATTTTCTTTTCCAGCATTGTGTAGACGATCAGTGTGCAGGAATTCCCACACAAACAATGGTGAAAAGAATTGGAAACAAATGGAAAGAACCCACCCTCTTATGTATATCACTTAGACAGTCGGATTCCAGAAATCAGTCCATTTTTAGGAGAAATGTGGCCTGCCAGTATCCCCTGCTACTGCATTGCCCCATTTAACAGAGATGATCAAAGGCATTCCTATGTTATTACACTGTGATATGTTGTGTATCTAATGAACATCACCATTCCCATCAAGTCAAACCCTCTCTGCCATTAACTTTATTAAAGCTTCCTACATCTCTTGGAATCTTTGCTTTTACACACATTCAAACAATTTGTTCTGGTTTTAACCAAACGGAAAATGCAAGCTTCCAGCAGCTTTTATAACAGCCTAGTTGTTTTTTAAAGTTAAGCGACCTCCAGAAACCATGTCATGTCTTAGATGGAGTGCATCTAGGCACCCTGGTAACTTAGCCAGTGGAACGAGCTAGCCAAATAGCTTTGGTGCCTCAGCCTAACCAAACAACAAGTGAAAGCAAAACATAAAAATGGTCTCACAGTCAACACTCCAGTCACAGTGAAAAGTCAGTGATGTTTCTACTTCCACACTCTTCCTGATCTCTCTGATCGTATTATGGACTTTCTTTGTATTTCAAAAGCAAACTACCCCGTATATATATTTAAATAATCCTTACATGAAGTGTTTCAGATGTCGAGGACAAATGACAAAATCTGATTTAATTCAAGGACATGGTAGATTTAATAATATGCACCTGACAAACACAAAAATAGCCACTGAACCAGAACACGTTACACTTCACATAAAATGCTCAAAGAAGCATAGTTTATATGATAGCAATCGATATGGAGCCAAATACCATAAACAGAGCACAGATAGTGGCTAAAATACTACATTAATACTGTAGATCAGGTTAATCATCTACAGAAGGAACAAAGAGAAACAGAGAAAAAGACATCTACAGCAGAACAATGCAGCATTATAAAACGTAAAGGCAAGACTTAGAGCTCCAGCTGCTGTGAGGTCACAGCCCTCATTTTGCTCACTGTTTCAACTAATGAGTCAGTGGCATGTCAAAGGTTGTCCAGGGAACCCGTTA